TACAAATTCATACGTGGTGCCCAAGGCTCTGGGGATCGCTTTTCCTTGACAGCAGATTCCGTAACTAACTCATCTGTAAAACCTCGATCGACAGTTGCCATTGGTGATGCTGGCTGTGAAGATCCCCGATGACCACCGCCTCTACCAGGAGCTGAACTTGCAAGAGCTTTCATTTCTTTATACCGTTCCTCCTTGATAAACCACTTCATACCTTTTCCAGGCTCATCCTTTCCACGCGGTGTCTTATCATAATTGCTGTTGAGGGACAAGTTGTGGCGAATAGAGTTCTTTTATCCATAGTTAGTCCCAATCCAATCAAAATGATCATTTAATAACTTACTTGCCAACCGTGGGGTGGTTGATGTCTGTAATAAGCGTATCTGCGCATGATGTATTGATAAATACCATTCAATACCAAGGTCTCACCTGGAGTTCCGATAATTGCCTGCGCAATCATTTGACTATAACTGTAACCTGGCTTGATATGAGCATTAGAATCGAGACTGAGGTCAACACTCTCAGAATCATTCATAACCATGGTACCACCAGCCGAATATGCAGGAGGCGATCTCTTATTAGAACCCGGAATTTTAATTCGAGAAGCAGGAGGAGGTGTACCCGGGCGCTGGTAACCTTGTGGAGCTGGAGCAATCGCTTGTGGAGCTCCATTCTGACCTCGAGCTCCATTAGTTGAAGGAGGGGGGAGGACATCAGGGGGTTTCTTCTCTATGTCTCCGAGCATCCTCTGTATCCTCGGCGCTTAATTCAGATCTTCGTAGGAATGTCGGATCGATTTTGAAGTCACCGTCAGGTAGAACGAACATCATCTCAACTCCAGATATATCGATAATAGCTCCACTGTACAAGTCTGCGACTTCGTTGCGGCGAAAAATCCCTATTGTCGACTCCTGGACTCCGTTGCGACCACTGACTTCCATTCTTCAGCCCTGACTGTAAAAGATTGAAGCATGTCGTCGGGAAATCATCTTGCTTGGGCCAAGATCAACATGGACATCGATAATGGGTCCTTCATCTTGACCCTCAGCCTCAGCAGAGTGACGCCCAACATTGATTCGCATGTCCTTGAGATAATAAGTCCAACCTCTCCCAGCCAATTTTGCAAAAGCTGCAATTCCTCCTCTGCTCTCTTTTGTGTGTTTCTCATCCCCATGATCTTGGCGAACTTGTACAAAACCCGGCAATCCTAAGATTTGCGTGACTCTGGAGATTACTTCTTCCTTGTCCATTTCGGATGTAGGCGGATCGCGTGGCAGTTGATTTGAGGATGGGAGATTGGTTTTAGGTTCTTCAGTCTGCATCGTTGATCAGCGGCAGTGACAGATGCGCAATGATTCAAATAACTTACCTTCTTTCTTCTCTTGGAAGGACGAGAAGGTGAGGAGTCAGGAATATCAACCTTCATCATTGGTTCTCGACGTGGCCGTTGGGCCCTCTTACCGGAAGATGGCATTTTGGGCATTTTTTTGCGACAGCGTTGACCCGGTGATAATTGTGCATAAGACGTGGTATGGTTCGGTATGGTCGTTGACAACTAGAGAGAACAATGAGTATTGTGTCGTCGAGGAAGAGCAGATGTAGAGGGAGGGGAGAGGTGCAGATAACCCTTGCGACAAAAGTGTCAAAGAGTTACTATAATGAGGGGAGGGGAGGGGAGGGGAGGGGGGAAGGTTGTAATGATGCGACAAGACAATGTAATGAAACAACAACTTACCAAAAGCCCAAGTGATTGATTGATTGATTGATTGATTGATTGATTGATTGATTTAATAGCAACTTAGCAATCAGCAAATTGTATCCTTTTATTGAGATGTCGATGGATGAGTATTGGGTATTGTATTTAGTAGAAAAGAAATCGAATTTCCTTGCGGTTCTCCTTCCTTCAATAACACAATCAATGGTTGTATGGTATCGTTCCGTCACGCGGAAGTCGCGTCCTTGTTTAAGCTGCTTTGCTTGCCTCTTTTTTTTTGTGGAATCGGGAAATTTGTATGGAAATTATGTTGGAGGTAATTAGGAATTCCCTTTATAAATTCATTATAAGGGAAAAGTACAAATGTTTGATTCACTTACAATATGTGCATGTAAGGTTGTTTATCAGTAAGGAAGTGGGAGAAGGAATTACTTTTATATAAAGTTGTTGTTGGATTGATTGTTGAAAGGGATTTTCTCTTTGGTCGCGAAAATTGGTTGTTTAATTGTTCGGTCTCTGCATTTTTTTGAAGTGAATCCGACAATGGGATCAGATGATTGGTTGATAGAAAGTTAGAAAACAAACGGGTTCCTTTTTTTTTGCTTGGTCCGTTCTTTTCATGTCATAGACTAGGTACAAGTGGCTGGAATCACTCATCATAGATATTGAGACAGGCGAAACTAAGATAACTAAAGAGATGCTATACCTATCTGATATCATAATGACTTCATTAATCTTTTATTGATACATATCCTTATGGAGTAGAAAATTCAATATTGACATCTTTTTCCTGGTGTTTTCAATGCATTGTTAGATACCTACCTACTTACAACCCATCTCAGCATTGATGTTTTAATAAATTGATACTCTAGTATTGTAAAAAGGGTATAATGATTATGTTTCAGTATGGCGAGGAGCACACAAAGTTTTATCATTCAGAATCAGATTCAGAAGTCTTGAGCACCAGTGGAGTAAGAGATATATTCTATTGATCATTGTGATGTACTCTTTACCACCCACACTCAACTTAAACGGTCACTTATTAGTTTGCACTTACTATTAGTAGGTATATAAATCCATAATAAGTACATCCATCCATCCACCAGTGATCTATCATATTTAGTCAATCGATGCTCCTCAAGCAACTAATGACATTGTACTCGAGTAATAACTCTCTGTCTAAAAACCCATCCAACTTTCCATCTGTGCTCAATCATACCTGCCCTACATCTCCACTTCTCTGCATAAGATCCTTCTCTCCAGTAACAAGGTCCCTAGTATTTCTCCCCCATCCCAAACATTTGACCCCCTTTTGCACGTTTCTCCCCTCTCATACTCTGTACATTCCCCATCACATCTATCTACCTATATCCATTCATCCATATCCATTCAATCATTCCCATGACATATCACCACCCTCAAATCTGTACCAACAAATATCAATCCAATCATCATTCGCACTACGGATACACACATCCATCGAATCCATCAAATCCCACAAATCTAGACCCCACAAAGCTAACGCCGATCCACGGTGACATTCGGGATAATCGACGCGCGCTAACTCCTTCTATCAATTTAGACTTTTAAGCCTCATGATAGATATATCTGATAGTAAAGATGTAAGTGTTGGTCCTAGGTATATTATAACGATTTAAGTGGTTTTATGTTGAATTGTAAAGATACTACATTTAATACCTATCACTTGTACATCCAACCTCTAATAGGTAAATAAACGAATGGAATTTCTCAGATCATTGTAAAATATTACTAGGTATTCCAACCAAAAAATCCTCATCCATCCACTCAGCGAATCACTCCCTACATAGTACATACCTACAAACCAAGCCAAATGAAAACCCACCACTTAACCCTCCTTAACCACCAAGTGCCTCGTAGTACATCGTAGTACATTCCAACATACAATACATCACCATCCAGCCAAAGTAACCTTAATCCCTCTTCACTTTGCCACATGACATGACGCTACCTAAAAACTTTCTCTATCTAAAATAGCCAGATCACTAATAGCGGGGTACATAACACGCATTTCTCTATCTAACTACCTAACTACTTTACTTTTAACTTTTAAATTTATATTTTCTATCATCATAATCATACTCATCATCAAGAAATTTTAAATTTTACTTCATACTCTAGGAAGGTAGTTATATATAATAAACTTTTAAACTTTAAGAACTAATATTTAAATACTGTATATTCGGCTCAATTTATCCTCTTAATTCTCATAATGAACCAACCAACCAACCAACCAACCAACCAACCAATCAACCAATCAACCAATCAACCAATCAACCAATCAACCAACCAACCAAAAATTCATCCACTAACCCACAATCTATACCACAAATCCCTCAATCCTCTAACCCCTCATCTAAATTTCACAAGCAACTTTACTTTATATACTAAATACCAACCACTCTTCTCCTCCCTCTCAAATCCTGAAATTCTTCTCTCAATTCATCATCTCCATCTTCTTTTTACTACCATTTATATTCTTACTTTACAACCATCATTCATTCATCCAATCATCCACGCACAATCAATAATTTTAAAAAGAAAATTTAAAATAAAATAAAATTCCAACTGAGATAAGAATAGAATTAAAAAATATCTACAAAATAAAATTAATAAATTATCCCATTCATTCATCCGTTCATCCCATCATCCATTCATCCCATATCATTCCTTCCCTCTCCTTCCATACCATACCATCCCATCATCCAACCATCCAACCATCCATCCATCATTCATAAGAACCCCCTCATATCCAAAATCAAAAAACCCATCCATAGAGGAAGGAAAGTTTGTTTTCCCTCAAACATCATTTGCTACACCTCAAAATCCAAGTCCAAATCCAATTCCAAAAATCCAAACCATTAATGAGCCTTCCTTGCCTAGCCCAAGTTTTCCGCAACAAACATCATGTCATGACATCATATGTTATTTTCCCTTTCACTTCTTTCCTTCCATATCCATATCCATATCCGTATATATAAGAATCCCGATCCCAATTGCAAGCAATCAAAGCAAAGCAAAGCAAAGCAAAAAGTATAGCCCAATACCCAAAATCCAGATCCACATCCAAACCAACATCCACTGACCCAGCTACCTTCCACCTACCACAGCCCCACCCAAACCCCCACCAAAACCCCCATCACCACCGAAAAATACCAACCCTGCATCTTCGAATTCCTCCCCGCCACATTCGCCTCAACAGGCGCACTAGGCGCCACACTCGTCGCTTGTACACTACTCGCTGCAGTTTCAGTCTCTACACGTGTGGTAGGTTGTACGTAGTAACTAGTAATTTGAGCTGGGACGGTGAGAGTACTAGGTTGGATATAGGTGGATGTGTGAATGTGTGTTGTGTTTGCCCAGTAGGTAGTTGGGATTGTGACGGTTTTGATGATGGAGGGGATGGTGACGATGGCGATTGTTTCGATGATGTTGGATGCGGTTGTGGGGATCTGGGATGGTGTTAGTAGGGATCAAGAGGAAGACAGAGGGGGAGAAGGATAGAAGATGAGGAGGGAGATATGAGGGAGAGGACTTACGTAAATGGTAGTTTCGCCGGTTGCAGCGGGCAGAGTAGAAGTTAGAGTTTGGACGGCAGTTACTTTGATAATGTTTGTTTTTGTGGCTGTTAGGATGATGCTATATCAAGGAATTGGTTAGCCCTTTTGGAGATTCTCCGCGGAGGAGAAAATCATAAATCTTACGTTGATCCAGCACTGATAGTAGTATATACACTTTCGACACAAGACTCAGTTTCGTAGACATTAGTAGTCTGATATTCAGTAGCTTGAGTAGTAGTGCTGAATTTGTAGCCCGGGCTCCTATGCTTAATGCATGATGAACTTACTATTGGAAAATAGTTGTAGGAACCTGGATCTGGGTGACGATTGTACTGGTATATACTTTTGTGATTGGAACACCAGCTAGAAGTTTTCTGTCAGTTTGTAAAACTTATAGAGCAGAAATGTGGTCTCATACAAACTGTTTGAACTTCGGTAACTGGGCACAAGCTAGTAGAAGTCTGGTAGACGTATGTTTCGATTCTTTATATCTAGTCAGCATCTTCATCTCAAAGGTATGCAACAAGAATCCAAAAACTCACGTCTTGGTTTCTCCTGGCAAAGTAGTTTTCGAATAATCAGTAACATATGCGTTAGTTACGATGAGACTAGTCTTTGTTTTCGTAGTAGTATATTGGATACCAGAGATTGTTTGAACTTCAGTAACTGGGAAAACACTTGTGATGGTTTGAGCGACTCCGGTTTCAACACTATATCAATGATTAGTCTATATTTCAACTCCTGAAGAGAAATTCTCACGTTTTAGTTTGCGCCGGTAAAGTGGTTTTCGAATATTCAGTAGGATATACGTTAGTGACAATGAGGCTAGTTGTCGTCTTTGTAACAGTATATTCGATTCCGGAGATTGTTTGGATTTCAGTGACTGGACAAAGGCTTGTGATAGTTTGAAGAACTCCAGTTTCAACACTAATTGATAATTAGTTTTGCATCCTGGATATACAGATTCAGGGAGTAGGGGTCCTCACGTCTTAGTCTTTGCTGGGAGAGTAGTTTTTGAGTACTCAGTGGGGTAAACGTTAGTGACTATAAGGCTAGTTGTCGTCTTCGTGACAGTATATTCGATTCCCAGAGATTGTTTGGATTTCAGTGACTGGACAAAGGCTTGTGATAGTTTGAAGAACCCCAGTTTCAACACTACATCTATAATTAGTTTCTCATACTCCATATATAAATTCAAGAGCAGAAATAGGGATCTCACGTTTTGGTCTTTGCTGGGAGAGTAGTTTGTACCTCTACAGTAGTTCCAACATTTGTGACGATGAATGAAGTAGTTGTATAAGTGACAGTTACCAGATTTCCTGAAATAGTCTTTGTTTCTGTGACTGGGCAAAGGCTTGTGATAGTTTGAAGGACTCCAGTTTCAATACTATATTTATGGTTAATTTTCAAGAGGTACAAAACAGAAATAGAGATCTTACGTCTTGGTCTTCTCCGGAAGGGTAGTTTGTACTTCCACAGTAGTTCCAACATTTGTAACAATGAATGAAGTAGTTGTGTAAGTGACAGTTACCACATTTCCTGAGATAGTCTTTGTTTCTGTTACTGGGCAACCCCCTTGTGATTGTAGACCCAGCAATGAGTGACGGCACTAAACAGAAATATTAGTTTCCAAATAGAAAAAGGAGTGATAGGCAATCGTACGTTTCAGTTTTACCAGGAGCAGTTTTTGTAACTTCAACATATGTCGGGACATTAGTCGTATATAATGAAGTAGTTGTATAAGTAATAGTTGTAACAAGTCCCGAGATCGTTTTTGTTTCTGTTACTGGACAGAGACTTGTGACTGTGGAGACAACTTCAGTTACAGCACTGCAAAGATATTAGCTTCAAAAACAAGCCTCAAGAGTTGAGAGGAGTCCCATACGTCTCGGTTTTGCCAGGGGCAGTTGCTGTAGCTTCAACATATGTTGGAACGTGGGTTGTATAAAAGGATGTCGTCGTATAAGTGACTGTCACTTCTTTTCCAGAAATAGTTGTGGTTTCGGTGATAGGACATAAGCTAGTAATTGTCTCGACAACAGCAGTTTCAACAGCAGTGGTTTGAGGTGGTGCAGTAACCGTATTGACGATAGTTGTGGGGACAACTAGTCTCACGTGTCAGCAGCTTTTCGTCATCAAATTGGGTTCTCAAGGACCCACCAGTTTCGACGACAGAGGTTGTAGCATATGTCTTAGTATATGTTATTCCAGGAGCTGTGACAGTCTCTGTTACCGGGCAGGTGGTAGTATATGTGATCACAACCTAGCGAATGAGTCAATTTCGATATTCAGAGACATTATCACGGGATCATCGTACATCAGTAGTTGTTGTTGCCCAACCAGTAGGACCTGGGACAGTAAAAACTCCTCCGCAGCCTCCAACACAGCTAGTAACGACTACAGTTGATGTTGCGATACTGGTGACCCATTTTGTTGTTCCTTTCTCGGTTGTTGTGGAGGTGACCTATGGAAAATAAATTAGATCTTGCTTGATAAACGTGATATCATGGAAAAAGTATAATATGAGTCCTCATAAACGTCCAAACCCTGCTCGGATTGTGAAGAATTCTCATCTAATGACACGAATGGAGTTCACCATGAGTGTGGGTAAGAACCCCGACGATTGGAACCTCTCATTGGTCTAATCAGATAGTCCTCATCCATAGTATGCCAAGTATGGATGGCTTCATCTCATACCTCGAATTGGATTAAACAATAAGCATCTAAGTATTATCCAAGCACCTTCATCCAACCTCAATGACGAAGCATCAACAATGAACCATAACATACCGGACAGATTGTAGTTGAAGTATAGGTAGTCCAAGTAGTAGTATCAGTCTCCACAGGATACCCAGGAGGGCTTGAATATTCAGGAGGACTCGAGTACCATCTTTCCTGAATGCCTTGAGCGAAAGTCGAAGTGGCCAAAGCCAGTAAAGCGAAGGCTGCCTTCATGATTGGAATGTGTAACGATATTTGTTAGGACTGTACTGCGTCAAGTACTTGTATAACGATTGTACACTCTGCACTTTGCACCACAGAGATTGGGTATAACGACCGTCTTAAATAATTCAAAACGAGAGCGTTGGAAGTAAACTTTGCGTTTGAGAGGAGGCTGGAAGGATATAATATTTTCGGAGTGGCTGTCACAGCCAGAAATAAATAAGACACAAACACATGCGGGACCAGGGCACTATAATCTATGGAGGGCAAGGAAATCTCCATACTACCATGAAAAATGTCAATCTCAGTGCATCTCATAAGGCCGCATATGAATCATGCTGGCGATTCAATTTCGGGCAAGTACCTATGTATTTCTGGTCCACTAAGACATCAAAAAGGTCTTCTCTGACTGGTCAACCACTATGCTACGTAACTTTGGGATACGAGTATAGTGGCTGGATCAATATGGAGCCCAAGCTATGAAATCCAGAGCCTCTAAGTATAGTAATACGAAACATATCTTGTCTATAAAATACCACCAGTTCACTCGATTGTCAAAGTATTTCTGAGGCTGCAGTCGCGCGAAGAAAAGGCTGGTATGAACATGGGTTCCCAGTCGCCTAGATGTTGTGAAAGCAATATTATGATGCATGGAGAGAGCAACACGAGGTTTTGCATGATAAACATTGTTCTTGCATGGTGCCACCTCATAAATCACAACTCCCGGGGAAAAGCGAGACCTGGTGACAAGATTTTGTTCTCTGTTGTTCGTTTTTCGAGGCCTTTAGAAATGAAAAACGTGGTGTCCATTTTCTCGGGTACCTCTTGTACGAGCCAACCGGGTGATACAATAATTTTGTACCTATTCAGTGTACATATTCTGGAGAGTGATACTCCCCTGCATAGGAAGTATTTTGACTTCCGTTTCTTCCGGCAAAATGAGCTTCTGTGAAGGGTACTAACTTTCCTTTTTCAAAGACTCGAGATGAAAGGCCTTCTTGCTTGCTCGTATTTGTTTGTAAGACGCATTCGGGATCTACTCGCGAACGCGGGGAAAAAAATTCTTTACTAGGATCCGAAATTTGGATGGGCTGAAAAATTGTACCATGCACAACAGAGGCGGGGTGTGGTCTAAGAGATAAATCAGGTTACGTTGGAATATGATTCAATTGAGGTACTTTAAGTGAAGTACATCTAATTTGCGTGGAAGACGCATCGAAGATCCAACAGAGAAGATAATTAAAAAAGGTGGAAGCGATGTGGCGAACATGGAACATTGTGCGACGACAAACTTTCCGTTGGTAAACTTTTTTCGCTTGCGCTTCAATGTTGTCCTGTCGCCCTTGTTGTTTGCTAGGTCTAAGTTGGGTCGTAAGTAGGCCTCAAACCGTGACCCAGCACATGCCACCCAACAGTTTGAGTCGGTAAATTTCCTTGTCGACATGTGAGCTAGCGAAAATCGGTATGAATGAATTATCACCGGGTTGTACAGACTCACCCAAATATCGGGAAGTAATCCAGGCAGTTTTCAGGACGTAAAATTTAAGTGGCTTAGGGTGGTAATGACTTAATCTATCTTTACCTTATTCGTATTTACCTGCATCTCCGCTAATCATCATCGTCGTCGGTATCACTTTCCCAACCTTCTTCATATGATTCGGCAATTTCGCCCAGCGAATTACTGAGTGCTTCTCGCTCATCCATTCCAATAGCTCTGTTTACTATCTGCTGAAGGCTTTTAATTCTTATAGCCACAGACGTATCCGTAGAAAGAGATGTACTGATTGATAAATTCGTGATATGCTCATCTTCATGAGCGAAAATACCTGGAAAGCTATCGAGAAGGGGAAACGATAATGGTGTATATGTTCTACGAGAATATGTAAGCAAAGTAAAGAGAGAATCAAGAGGATTACTAACCTTGAAAGCAACGGAAGGCTAGCAGCAATTCTGCGAGCCCGATCACGGCCTTCGTCATTTCTGTTGTTTTCTTCATCGTATTCTTCATCTCCTCTATAATTCTCAACTTGACCAAACACATGGACCTTCCCGGACTTCCGAGGACCGCGAATTTGCTCCCCTGTTTCTGTAGGAAAGAAATCCATATCAAAACTGGCAGTATCATTTTCCGCAGGCATATCCTCACCACGACTCGAAATTGCTGCTGAACTAATCCTCGTATCTGTGGTGTTGTAATGTCCGTTCGTTCCCGTGTGAATAGTATCATTAATTACTGTCTCGGACTTTTGCTTCATAGTCATCCGTAATTTCGCAATATTCTGCCTTCCATTGACATTTAATGTGCTTGCTAAGTGGTCCAATGTTTGCCTTGTACCATTTTGCGGCTTTAATCTCGAAGGAAGTGTCACGCTTTCCATAGCGGAAGAAAATAAGCCAGAAACTTCTCATGGGGAACTTGCGTCCAATTTGATGTAACCTGGGCAAACGTGTTGATGGCAGGGTCATTGGAATGAAAAGTGATGTTTGTGGGATGATTTCTGACACTGATTTGGCTGTATTCGACAACTTCAAAAAGCGTTTTTCCTGTCGATATTAGTACTGGAACTCCATCTTAGTTCGATACAACTTACTCGAGATATTCCTTTGATGTTATCCTCCAATCCCCAAAACCATACAGTGGTCTTACCATACTCATCTCTCAACCGATCCATATATCGAGCAGCAAATCCACCCCAAGCATCATCAATACCTCCCATTATTTGTATGCCTTGCATATGATCAGCTTCTTCAGCGAAAGGCCGAAGATCACGATCCAATAGATCATGCTCTTTATCCAAAGAGCTAAATAATTCTTCACCAGCATCCCAATTTTCAAAAGGCATTAGTGAAGAATTTAATTCATACTCGTTAAGTTGAACTATCGATTTTGGATGATAATATACGCGATTGAAGTCAGACCAATATCGCACTGATTCCGAGGTGAGCTTTGGTGGCTCGAGACCTTCTTCCAAACTTTGTTGGTATGGACTTTGTTGAATAGCTGCTTGCCGTTGAACTGCAGCTGGGCCGTTCCTGAGAAGAAGTTAGAGTTAGCTGAATAATTGACTTTGATGATAAAACTGAACTACTCACCATAATCCATCAGTAATAACTGGCTCATCTATTTGATATAAAGCATTAATCTTTCTCAGAGAACCAAACCCTCCTTTCAGATCATAAATTAAAGTTCTTGGAGTAAAGGTCTCAGTACCATCAGCTCCAATACCAGGTCTAAAATGAATATCATGATCAACTAAAGATTCTTGATCCGCCGAATATGTAAAGTATGATTCCTAATGACCAATCAGATAATATTGATGGTTTCGGAGGAAATGCTGTATTACCTGAGTATTCCAGAAATGGGTAGCAAGATAATTACTCTTTTGCCCTAACTGAAGGGTAATAATTTCATGCATATTCTAATACTTCTGGAGTCTCCTGCAAAAGCTTCCTGTATCCAAGGTGTTGACAGCTGTCAAAGTTGTCACAGCCAATCACAACCTCTTGCAGTGATAAAAGATAACCTTTGGTTGT